CTTGGATAAACGTGCCTGAACTGAGTGTGGATGTCCTTCATCACCAATGCCACTGTTTCACCTTTGACGCCTTCTTCCACATTGGATTTGATTACAGTGTGGTCAGCGACAATGTGATCCCCAAAACTTTTGGTTTCCAACCTTTTCTGTCCCCCTTTCTTCTTTGCAGGTGGCGCCATCATGCGCGCCTTCTGACAGATCTTGCAAAATGGATTCTTGGGGTAATGACAAAATTGGTGAGATTTGCTGCATGCCTCTTGCTCAAGGTCGGATGCCTTCCTAGACCTGATGTAGTCGGTTTCACTATCATGAGCTACTCCCTCATCCACACCTTCTTCATCGGCACCTTCTGCTTTTGCAGCAACCTTCTGCTTTTGCTTTTGCAAAAAGACGTAACAAATCACAATCTTTCTTGAACTGTCCACTGTTCAAAACACGACAAGAGCTATCAATAACCGGCACACGGCCGTCTACGTTGAGCTCGATGACTCCCATATCCGGACGAATGAAGTAAGGCCTACCATCAGCCGGCCAAACAAAGCTGTATCCCTGTTCCATACATCTTACCCCGACCGAAAGAACAGCAGGAGTTTCCTCAAGAATGTATGGTGAGAACGGCTGGTGCAGGGCATCGACCTTTACGTCGGCCACCTCATCCGCACGTGTCGAACCGTTGGCTGTCGCAAGACTGATTGGAGTGTCACTGACACGGCGATTTTTTGCCTTTGCAGTTCTCAACATGCCTTCACTGATCAGGTCCTGTTCACTACCGGTATCAACCAACCAAACACATCCGTCTTTTGAAGCAGGAGTGGCAACAGTTGGCAAATGAGTGTTACTGAGTTTGTTCTTTGGACCGATCAAAGCTCTGCAGTGGTTACATGAGACTCCACCTTCGGGGTCGTTGCATCGGAAACGGCATTTGGGCTGCACATCGTTGCCGAAGAGCTTCACAAGTTCCTGCAACTGTCTGGCCGAAACCTGAGCGCGGTGAGCAGTGAGCTTTTCCGGCTTTGGCACTGACTCTGAATCGGGGAACGTCTTCTCATAGATTCGGGGTTTGTGCACTACCTTTCTCTGTTCACCTGTTGCTGGTACTTTGATGTATTCCACTTTTGATGAAAATACAACAGCTCTATGGCATTGTTCTTTCATGGCCTTTGTAGCCTTTGGCAACCCTTTTCCCTTTGCTATGCATGCATACCTTTGAGTAATGCATGGCGCAGCTTTTGCACTGGCCTTCTTCTTTGGTGCAGGGCTATTGGTGCGTTTTGGATCCTTTGTGGGTGCAGCTGCAACTTCATGTTTATAAAAACACTTGCCACCACGACGACATTTGCCCTGTTGGAAGTAAGTGCATGGGATCTTGGCCATCTCTTCCTTTGACTTTCTGTTGGGGGAACCACTTCTGCTACCGCCTTTGCCCTTACCCTTCTTTTTGGGAGTGCCAGTTGAGGAATCCTTGACATGCTTGTAGGGACAGTCTTTACCCTTTTCGCACTTGCCATCCCTGAACTTGTAACATATCTTATCCCCTTTTCCACTCTGGCTTCGACCACGGGATCGACCTCGATCACCCTTTCCTTTGCCGCGATCTTTGCCCCCCTGAGCGGGTGCAGCGGGCTGAGGCTTTTCGGTCTGTTTATTCTTTTCAACGATTCTGTTTCTGTTTGAACGGAGCCTTTCTCTATCCAAAAGATCACGAATGTTTCTCAATAAGAATGCATAAGACTTCTGTTCCGACTTTTCAGGAGCTCTGTCGAATGCTTCAATGTCATACTTCATCAATTGGCATTTTCGGATTTGTCTAAGTAAGATGTCTCTGAGAACCAAGTCATCTGGCGGGGTTTCCATGCCGGCAATTGTGGCGTCCCATCGGTTCAGAAACCTTCTAAGGTCCTCCACAGATTCTCCAGTGCGAACGACTCCAAGTAGGTCCTCGACGCGATAGAGACTGCCAGCTTCCTCAGACGTCCTGAAGTAGTCTTCAAACATCAAAAGGACTCTCCTACCTCTAACTTGGATCCCTTTCTTTGACTTCTCATCTTTGAAGTTGTGGATCTTCGTTGCTAAATCACCTTTGGCCGAGCGAGTTAATGCTGCCGACAACTTGGTATCAAGTGTGATGAATTTCCCAGGTTCCTGCAGCTTTTCCTCCAACTTTTCCCTAGGAGTTTTGTTGTCAAAGACTTCATTGAGCCAGAGCCAAGCCTCATCGGGTTTGTCGGAGCACGACTTGACTTCATCTCTGACATGATTACGCCAGTGACGATACGCTTCCGGGGCAGGCATGTCGTTCAGTTTGATAGTCTCTGCCTCTTTTGTTCGGGGCTTTTCACCATCTGAATCCTTTGAAGTCAGTCTAGTGATGAGATCTAGCAATTGTTGACCTGAAAGACCTAAGCCTGCATCAGCAGCTTTCTTGCCGGTGTCGCTTGCTATTGCTGTAGGACTGGGCACACTTTGTTCTTGGTTTGCATCATCATCGTTTTGTCTTTGAACTGGCAATGGTGGCAGTTTTGGAGGTGCTGCTGATCCGGCAGGGGTTGTTGAGAATAAGTTGCTCAATCTTTCTTTAGCGTCCACGGCTAAGCTGCTCATACCAGTGTTTGGCATGGGTTCTGCTCCAGCCTTGGTACCGACCGCTGATTTTTGGGTCAAGTACAAATCGACATTGTTCCCGCCTTGTGCATCATCAACTTCGACGGCTCTGTCGACCTTGATTTCAGGGGCGCTGTACTTGTTGAGCTTCTCCATCAAATCCTCCACTTGTCCCTGCAGTTGATAGTTGAGTTCAGCAGCTTGGTTTTCCTGCCTACTGCATTCCTCTCTAATCTCCTGGATTACAGCTTGTTCCTCCTTCTTGAAACCTTCCATGCCATTCTTTGCATACTCCACTGTTTCGTCCACGATTCGTTTACAGTCTGCCTCGAGGCTACCTCTGAGTTCAGAAAACCTTTGTTCGTACTGGGCTGTAACATGGGCTACCTTTTGGTTTGCTCTTTGCTCAGCTTCCAGTGCAACTGCATTTGCAGCGTTCTTCAGCTTTGCGTTTGCATCGCTAAGTTCCTGTCTCAGTTTTGCGACCTCATGCTCAGTTGCCGTTTGGGACATTGAATACTCTGACACTAGGTGTTCATGTCTATGATCAGCTTCTGCACGTTGATGGGCGATTTCACTAAGGCAAATTCCCTCAAACTCTTGGTACAGTTGCTGGACCTTTTGTTCCATGAGATATGTGTGTCTCTCTTCTGCCTCTTGTCTGAAAGCGTCAATGTTACCTTCATTGATATAGGTAAGATTGTTCTGCACAAACTGAAAATATGCCTGGACGGGCTGTGTGAAGAAACCTTCATCTACCGACATGGGCGTGGGAGTTGTCCCAGCCGTCACAGGCTGAGATCCAGTTGCTGCAGTCGCCATTGTTCCTGTTGAAGGCACAAGAGCACCACCACCTGTAGCATCGTGTGTTTTGTCCATGGCTTTAGAGACTACGGCTGATAACCTGTATTTTCAGGTTTCAGCGGGGTAAACTATGTTATACCCAGATAGACTGATAAACCTAAACAAAGGTCAAACAAACCGTTAAGCACCTGCGACTCACGCTTTTTACTCGAGCCGCATCAGCTGTGGTAGCATGCTATTATACATGGGTTTTATGGTGGAGTGCAAATACAATTGCAGCTTCCCCCGTAGACACAGCAAGGCAACAGGAAAACCAGAGACTCGAGACGAGACACGTGGGAGCACCAAAACGAGCATTTCGTGCGAGACTTCCTCCAATTTTCACACGTTGTAGCTTCAAAATCGACGTTTTCCTACGAGTTTTCTCAGGAACCTGAAATTTTGCTACCTCAAAATCGATGTGTCGAGGCTTCCGTCAATTTTCAGCACATCTCAGAAAATGCTGCACCTTGTCGCCTTGACGCAGCCCTGCCAATGCGATTTGCAAAAACACGCAACACGACTCGTCTAAAGTGCTGCCACACTTTACACTCTACACTTTACACTCCACACTCTACACTCCACACTCTACACTCCACACTCCACACTCTACACTTTACACACAACACACTCCTCACTCCAAACTCTACACTCCACACTCCTCACTTTACACTCCAAACTCTACACTCTACACTTTATACTCTACACTCTACACTCCGCACTTTACATTTTACACTCCACACTTTGCACTCCTCACTCCTCACTCTACACTCCACACTTTACACTCTACACTTTACACTCTACACTCTACACTCCGCACTCTACACTTTACACACTCCACACGCCTCACTCCACACTTTACACTCCACACTCCTCACTTTACACTCCACACTCTACACTTTCCACTCCACACTCCACACCCTACACTTTACAATCCACACACTACACGTTACGCTCTACATTCTACACTCCACACTCCACACTCTTCACTTTACACACTCTACACTCCCCACTCCACACTTTACACTCCACACTCCTTACTTTACACTCCACACTCCACACTCTACGCTTTCCACTCCACACTCCACACTCTACACTTTCCACTCCACACTGCAGACTGGTAACAGGGGAAATATATATGTACAAGACTGTTCAAATCAACTATTGCAGAAAAGTCTTCTGCGTGACTGCATATCCATGTGTTTCGACATCTGTACCATTAACATGCGTGTGAGCATTCGGGTTCGTGGGCTGCATCTTGTTGCTGTTGAAACATAGGGGGTATCTTATCTAGCAGCAAATATGTGTCAGGCATTGGAACTCCGTTGATTGGGATGATACCGATGGTTTGCTGCGGTTCCCGGTGGTTCCCTGTTTTCTGGACGGTCAATGTTGACATATGTTGACCAACATCCAACATGGTCAATGTCCCACGGGACTTTTCACGGGAGGACTACCATGATTCGCACATTGTGATGACAGGGGGTTTCCCAGCTTGCCATGTTTGATGACACTGGAGGATAGCCAGAGAACATTAGATGGCACCACTTGCTGTCCTTGGAGCGGCACAGTTTTGGAGAAGCTACCCTGGTGGCAGTCGCGGCTGCGGCTGACCATCAGGATGTGGAAGAAAGAAAGATCTCCTTTAGAGAGAACTTCTAAACGTCAGGCCTGCGTTAATTCCGAAATTCCTAGATTTTTACATTTTGTATATTATATATATATATGTATATATATATATACACACACGCAGCACACGGTTTACACGGATGGATATAGAAATACACTGACTATATATGTATATTATACACACAGTCATACAATGTGTATATATATATATTATATATACATACATAATGTAAATGCTAGGACCTTTTGGTTTTGAAGTTCCAACAAGGATCCAGTTGCGTCACGTCTGACATTTTGGATGATCAGGGGGGGGCTATTCTTGTTGGGAACTCTTTCTATCTGATGAGGTTCGATCGTCAGCAGTTCCATTAGGTTTGTCTGAAACTGGAGTACCCCAATTCCAACTGACTGTATCATCATTCTCCCTGTAATAATTGGGATCTTTTTCGGGCATAGCCCAATCTTGGACAACCACCCTACAAGGAGCTCATACAACCGTGTACCACATGAACGTGAACTGCTGCAAAGTCGCACTTGGGAGGCTTGTTTGCTTACTTCGACCCACTAAAAAGCAGTTGTCAACTCGGGATGCAAAAGTAATACCCTCTGGTAATTGAACATAGCTATGGAAAATCACATGTTTAATAAGTAAATCATCTATGCATGGGCCATGTTCAAAAGCTATGTTAGTCATTCCCAGAGGGTACAGGATCATGGAGTTGAAAGATCCATCGGCCGGAAAACGGCAGCGCCGTTTAAGCCTCGCTCGGGGGGTAGTTAGCACCTGCAGCGGAGCGGATTGGACATGGTAAATGAATCCTTTGGAGCTACTGATTGATTTTGCAAAGGGCTCCTGGTTTCTATATTCTTGTATCAATCAGTTTTTTTCAGTGGTTCCTATGTGTGTTTTTACTGTAAATTGATATAATCATGGAGAAAAATAAGAAGAATTACTGGTTGGTGGTTTCAGCCCCTCTGAAAAATATTAGTCAATGGGAAGGATTATCCAATATATTGGGGAAAAATAAAAAATGTTTGAAACCACCAACCAGATTAACATTGGTAAGTGGTAAATCGCCATCTCCAGTTGAAAAAACCGCTCTAACGCTGCCAGTAGCTTCACACTTGGTGGTCTCATCTTCCTCCAAATTCCAAACTCCTCCATTTCCATTGCCATCAAATCATCCAGTCACGAGATTCGGAGAGAAGCCAAGCATCGATAAATCTCTGCAGGCAGACGTCTATAAACTTGAAGGATAAATCGAATAAATGTGCTTGGTGGTTGGAACGAAAAAAACACACGAAAAAAACACTAAATTGGAATTGCTAATGAAATGGGGATGGATTGGGATTTAACCCGGCAAATTCAAATCATGGCATCCCACTGTCTCCCGTAAGTGGGCGTCATCCAGTATCTGGATGGCGGGTAACACCATGAAACACCAACATTTTTTTCCCTCCAGCTGGAGTTGGTTGCTTTGTACAACCACCCATTTCTGGCAAATCAGTCGCAACGTTTAGGGCATTCTATATAATTATCTATAGGCAAATTCTTAGAAAAGTATGGAAAAGTCGCAACCCGCCCGACTCGAGCCTTTTTTGAGAAATATTTCCCTTACTTACTGTCACTGCCGGGGTTTGGTCGGCCAGTGAGGCCCGACATTGTTTGCGATCTCTACACCCACCTTGCACCTCTAGATGCTCAACTGAAGATACGCAAAGTTCAACGGTCGTGGCACCTAAACTATCTTAAACATCTTAAACCATCTTAAACAATCTAAAACCATCTAAAACCCATATTTCTTAAATGGCTCAACCATGCCAAACCCTTCCAAGCCCACATCTCTTGTAGCTTAGTCAACATGGCCATGGTTCAACCATTCTTCGGGAGCCGCACCTCTGGGATCACGCCAGTGGTGCCCCACAGCACCGAGCTACAGATCTGGTGGCGGGTAAACCATCCCCAAAATCACCATGTTTATGGGTTCTAAAACCATCAACATATGGCTGGTTTGTGACATTGATTTACGAACATTAAGTGGAATATAATGGGAATGTACTGTATATTGTATATAGTAATTATAATACAATATCTAATGTGGTAATCAAATATAGCTGGCTGGGAAATCCCCAAGCTAGAATGGAGGTCCAGCAAACCACGGGAAAAACAACGAACTAAATGGGATATTTACCAGCAAACCACGTTTGACTACTCGGTAATACTTTCAATGGGATACCGTGAACCCTGAACCAGTGAGACTTCACCAACAAAAATGGGATATTATATTTGGATCTTCACCACAAACAACCAGTTTATGAACAGCGCGAATCTTATCCATCTATCAGTTAGAAGCAACGTTACATCAATGCAGTCTAATGTGTTGTTCAATCTTTTGTTAAAAGACCAAATCCAAAGGGCATCTCTTCAAATGAGGCCCTTACAGTGTAATACCTCTGGTGATTTAACGTGGCAATCGTCTCCTTTCATAGGGATTCCACCAGGCCCTCGAAGGTAACCTCCTCATGAGAATTCGCAGTTTCTGTGCCGACTACACGGAGAACACGACATATACTCTGCAACCAACAAAGAAAGTGTTGATAAGAAAATTATATAAAGGCCTTTGTTCATGGCAGCTAAGATACATCAAACAATATATTCCACCAGTCAGTCTACCCAGGGAATCCTCAATTATTGCTGGTTTATATTCCATCTTTGCTTGTTCACATTCCATTTATTACTCACTCATAATCATGTTGGTAGAGAAACATTTTTTGATCACACCTCTCGCATGTTCAATCCTTAAACCCCTCAGGTTCTCCTGAGTTCAACCCAGTTATTCTGCGCAAATCATTATAATTTCTCTCATGGGCTGGTTGCCCCATATGCTTAATGTATGGCACATGTTGATACGTTTGGGTCACTCTAGGGCTAAATCTTCGTAGAGATTTCAGAATATTTCATACCTGCAACCCTATGTGTTGCAAAATTAACGCTGCCAGCTGAAACAAATGAAATTATTGCTCTCAAGCTTTTTATCGCCGTTTGGGGAAATTATTGACGTTTCAATTGTTCACATCCGCCAGCTCTTGCCAGAATGTTGCCATTTCTCAAAGAAAGAAGTATAGAACTGATGTTTGATGCACAAACTGACAGTAAGCCTCAGCAAGATGATGTTGATCCGGTAACCATTGGAGTATCTCATGTGGAGTGGTTCAATTTTCTACTCATACAACAATGGGTTCAAATGGTTCAGCACCTGCACCTTTACCAACAGCAGCTGCCATGACCTTTGTTTTGTCACCGCTGGGCACTCAGCGCTTTTCAAGGCGTTTCAACAAAATGTGAGCCTTCACCAAGTAGAACTCCAAAACGCGTTTGGTCATCACGCGCACGTCAATTTTTTTTGCTTGACTTACACAATCTTCCGATCAAATCCTCGTTTTGTTGGCAGTCGTTCATCACTGGGTTGATGACGTATCTGTCGTTGTTGTCCAGTTGGGCTTTCGCTTCTAAAAGCAAGTGCTTAAAGAAGTGCATTTTGGGTTTGATGCCATACAAACACATCGAGTTCTTGAAGGCCCAGTCTGCGAGCCACACAAACCCGTTGATCAGTGACTGGCCTCTTTCATAAAACACCGCAGCACAGCAAGGACCACCAAAAAGGGTGTGATCATTCAACCAATCATAGAAGGAAATTGCCACACCCGTTGTTGATAAGATGATCGACATCACTTGCCGTTGTTCTGCAGTGAGCTGATCATCGTTGAGAAACCCAACAGCCATAGTTTGTTCCCATTTCAAAAGCAATGTGCAGTCTGAACCTTTGACATTGGCAAAAGGGTATGCCTTCGAATTGGGGTACTTGAAAAGTGTGGTTGTGAAACTTCTCAATGATGCTGTCCTTCGTGTTGCTGAGCACCATAATTTGAACGACATGTGCGCGCTTTCAAGCTTCTGGTTGATTGTTCCCTGGTGTCCAAACAAGCCCCATTTCACCCATAGTATGAGCGTAGATGCTACCAGGTCTCTGTACACACCAAGTCGAAGCGTATGAAAAGGGTCATGCCTATACATGAACTCCGGTTTCTGCCGGTCAAATGCAACAGCTATCAGTGATGGTGGCCGTTGTTCGTCCCAAGGCCTTTCAACGTAGCAAGTCCCAAGCCAACATGGATGGGTGGTGAAGTCCTCAGCTGGGAGAGCAGTGGTGCCTGCCATGCAGAGATGGCAGCAAGGGCAATCCCTCACTATTCCCTTTCTTTCGTATCCTCTGGTGAGTTTGCAAATCTTTGATGTCCACTTTAAATCCCCTTTTGAAGAGACAACTGCACAGTACCACCTTTCGCCATTCACCAAAAAGCCATCTTCAAACATCGCTTTGAACTCATCGCCAAATAGTTGGAGAAAATAATCGGTCATTTTTTTGTATTCTTTGGCCCAAACACCAGGTATGACCACCATTGGCCAATGCTGTAAGAAAGAGTGACCCTTCATGTTGGACTGCAGTTTTTTCACCAGCGGGTTCAAGGGGTTCTCTGCAGAAGAGTTTGCACGCCCAGGTGTTTGCAAATGAGAGGGGCAGCATGATGTGCACGGATCTAAGACGCCTTTCATGCCCAACACGGCCTCGAAAGAAATGACTGTTGTTTGAGACCTTCTCTTTCCTCTCCCCTCATCACGGTTGACGTTCTTGTTACTGAGGCCTCTCCGAACTCAGCCATCGCACCAAAGCGGAGATCTTCACAAAGTCGAGCTGGGACCTTGCACTTGGAAAGGGATGGTTTGGAATAGAAAATAGACCAGTGATAGCTCAATGACCAGTGTTTTTTTTTCAACATGTTGGATTCGATCTTTATTCAACTTAGTTAGATCCAAAAGTTTTAGAACACCCGAGTGATTCCAGGGCCCAAACTCCGTCCGCAATGGCTTCAGCAAATGCTTCCCCAAAAGGCCTCTTCTTTGGAGGACCTGGCAAAAAAGTGTCAGAAGATGTCACGATAGTGGATGGATAAATTTGTGGCTGAGCAAGTGAAGTTTGAGATAAGTTCGTGGTTGAGCGTTTCTTTTGTCACTTTGTCGCCCATAAGTCACAAACTAAGTTTGTGTTGATCGGATTGATCCCCTCCCGTGCTTGCACAGGATTGACATGTAAAGGAACTGCCTCTAGGAAAGCAGTTGCAAGCCAGGCAACTGATGCCATGCGACCGAAAAAAGTAAGGTTCTTTGCTTCATGGATACACTACACAGCCCTTTCGAAAGGAATAGTTGTTGATAAGCATCTCCTGGCTAAGACCCCATGGTTCCTACAAAAAGCTCAGGCTTTGGCTTTTGCCTTAGCCTTTTGCTTCGCCGAAGCCTTTGCTCCGGCCTTGGCCTTGGCCTTAGCTGCGAGTGCTCGCGCACTCGCACGATGTCCTCGTGCCTTGGGTGCTGCTGCCTTTGGAAGAATTGGCCTGGCAAATGGCCGGAATATGAAACTTGATTCACAGTAGTTTGCTGGTAAACATATCCTGGCCTCATGCGGCTCTCAACGCCAATAGCCACCACAGCCCTTGGGAAGTTGCCCGACATGTTGGTTCTTTGGGAGTTGCCCCCCATTAAGCAGGTTGCACGTGCTCATGCAAGAACTTTGGAGTCAAAACATGTAAACAATTTTAACAACTTGGGGTACTGACAAAGTCTTCGCGGATTGGTACTCAGACTTCAAGTCCTCTTCACACCTGATGCGATTTTGAGAGAGGACACTGACGTTACATTTGAATTCTTCGAAATATTTTGCTTTTGGAAACAAGAGTTGAGGACAGTACTTTTCATCAAAACCATCAACCACACCAGAGTTATACGTTTGCTCAATCTTGGCGACCAAGTCTGCGATCTGCTTGATCGTGCTCTCGATCTTCTCCTTCATCCTCACGGCGTTGAGGCGAGCTGGGTGGACAAAGATCTATCTGGTTGGATAATAAGCTGGTCAAGAGTTTAGATTCAGAAAATGGGAAACTTAGCAATGGGCTGATAAAGAGATTGAATCCAGGATCGGTATAGCCTAGAGTCATTGACTGAAGAGACGAAAGCGCTTGAACTCCGGCAAACTTTGAAGCACCATCTTGAAGCTTGCTCTGACGGCGGGTCAAGCACAACCTCAATTTTCTTAAGAATGATGGGTGTCGATGAGATTGGAATTGGGATCATGTCTTATTTGGGTCTATGTCTTGTTTGAATGGTATCATATGACTTTCAAAAATGTGAAGCAAAAACAATTCAATGTCTTGGCTAGTGGCAGCGTTTTTGGTATGATCGTGGAGGGAAAGGCATCGGGCTCCAACTCTGGGAGTCCAGCTTTCTTACGGGCTCTCAAGGCATTTGCCTCGGCAGCCTCAGCCTTGCTTGCTTTCTCATCGACTTGATAGTTCGACTCTTCACTATCCGATTCTGATGCTTCCCCAGCTGCTGACCCTTCAGGGGAACAAAAAAAGGTATGATGTTACATGAAATAGATGGCTAATACAACTATCAAAAATTCAAAAAGACTTGTTGTCTAAGTACCCTCCCACCTGCATCCCCCGCTGCTTTCTGTGTGGCCTGTGCCTTGGGCACAGCGACCTTGGGTTTGGCCTGGGGGACTGCTTCGTCCAGCTTCACATCATCAGCTGATGTGTGCTTTGGTGGCCCACCAAGTTGCTCTGGCCTGTCGAAGCCTTGCAAATTGCTCTGCTCTTGCCAAGATACTTTGCGCTTGAAACGGGTTGAGCTGATTCGCCTAAGATTTGGTGTTGGTGGTTCATGTCCACCACTTGTTTAAAAAAAACATCATTGATAATAATATGTACTTCGATCTAGAATGAGTGGACCCAAGGACAAAAGCAACCAAACCCTTTGGTACAACAAGTGGCTTGCGATTGCCTTTGACAGCTGTCTCAGCCCAATAGAGCAAGTGCTTCTCATAGCGGTCTCGCCTGCAATGCAACAGCTATGCCAACAAGAAAGAAAAAGTGTAAGACAAGGAGAAGAACAGCAATACAACACTGGAACAACGTAGGCGATTGTAAGAGAAGATTCAAGCTGGTAAAACAACCAAACACGGCAGTCCTCATCAAGTTCTTGGGATCCTTTTGGGCTGCAGCCTTGACAGCGGCCACTCTTGTCCTCGGCAAGTGCTAGTAGCTCATAGATATGGTATCATGGCCAAAAAGGATTTCACTTTGATTAGCTTTCCAAGAATAGAGATGATGATGGATTGAAATAAGATTCTCTGTCCAATTCCACTCTTCTAGCATGGTCTTTTCGCTGATGTACTCGCCTTCGACTATCAGTTCATTGCTTTGAATCTCCTCTTTCAGGATCTCGCATTCCTCAATGAAGCTGTCCTTCAAGGAGGCTGGTCCCAATCTGGGATAGAGCACTTGGAAACATAATGGAAAACATTGACATTTGAAAGCGATAATGATCATAATAAGGGACATGAATACAGATCTTTTAAGAACCCAATGTCCGGATCGTATCCACAGGATTGGAAGACTTGTTGAAGCTTCAATTTCCCATTCTTGGAGCGAAACATAGACAGGATCTCTTGGGAGACTTTGTAGTCCCCTGATTTTTTACTAGGCTTGAACACTCGGTCCATCCGCTGGTTGATAGCGGCCTGGCTAAGCCTGAGCAAACCTGGGTCCGGTCGGCTGGCATTAGCCTCACCATCATATGGGATGTCCCCAATAGAAATCTCAGAGGTTGGTGTGCTGACACCATTTCCACTTGATGGTGATGGTGTTCCTGGCGCCTCTGCAGGCTCCACTGGCGCTGCACGGCAAGGCGATGGAACTGGCACTGCCGCAATCTCAGGACGTGGCATCGACTTGGAGTTGGTGGAATCCCCATTCTGATCATGCTGAAAATGGTTCCCATTTTTCTCACTAGGCTCAGTAGGCTCACTAGCAAGCAGAGCACCATCCCCAACTCCACTAGGAAGCACTGGGCCCAACCCTTCAAAGGGAGGATCACATCCAAGGTTCTGAGCATCAGAGGGAGGTGTAGGAACCTCAGAGCCGGGAGCAGCCACTTGAAAGGGGTCCCCTGGCAACGTATCTGGCAACGTGTTCTCCACTTCAGCAGTGGCCATGGGAACATCTGCAAGGTCACTGGCCTGCCCAGAAGCATGACCATCGCGGACTATTGTAATGGTTTCATGCAGGTCCTATTTTTGCTAAAAAATGGACATGGATAGCCTCAAATCAGAATTTGTTTTCAACTTCCTGGGACCAATAAGGGTTTCAAGCTTTATTATTTGGACTATAATGGGTAAACCTACAACCTGATAGGGTTTGATCAGACCTCCTCAGGTGCATAGGCCGCATCAACCACCCCGATACCAGCAGCTTGTAAGATGCCGTTGGACACATCACAGTCCATATCATGGAGCTCCTCCTTGAGAGCCTGACATGGCCCAGAGTACTATGGGGTTTTGAATAGGTGGACATGAACATGGAACAATCATTAGAAAAAGGTTGCAATTCGAAAGCCTTTTATTTGAGGATGACTATAGGTATGATACTTCCAGCTTTATGGGTTGATCTGGTGGTTCAACATTGGACGTGCTTGACAACATGTTCATAACCAACTGCCTCGAACTCCTTCCTCAATTCCGGGTCCATTGGGGACATGGAAAGCTGCTGCTGAGGTTGGTCCGTCACTTTGCCAATCCCACGGAGGAGGGTTTCGGCCGACCACATTTGGCTTTTCAGACGGGCTAGGCCAGACATGTCAGCAAAAGGTAGCTATCGAGCCCAGGCTTCTTGGAAACAACATTTGTTTTAAATGCAGTTTAGGGGAAACATTTTTTTGAAATACACACAAGTACAATAGAACAAGTCAGTCAAATGCCTTGGCCATTTCACTGCAGTAAGGGTCTTGAAGGACCAAACGCCTTTTTCTTTCAACACCCCAAGCTGCTGACACCTGCTGGTGGGTAATCCCACCGCATTAGCATCGTTTTGCATGATTTTGCATGCTATTGATGTCAACCTGCTCTCAAAACAAACAACTTGAGTCAAACAGAATGCTTCAAAAATATCAAAAAAAATATTGCCGTTTCATTGCCTTTTATCGCCGTTTCATTGCCTTTTATCGCCGTTTCAAAAAATGAGTTTTGGGGGTCCAAAGTCAATTATTGTCACATAACCAGACTACATGCGAAAAACATCTAGCAGGTTGACAAACACCAGCTACCCTTTTTATGGCTGACTATGGCTGGGTTTAGGCATCCAAAGGCCGATAATACCCAGTTGGAAACATATTCATGGCCTTTTTGTTGAACTCAATCCATTCATCAGGGATCACGTGTTTCAGTGGGGACCCCCAAGCATACCGCAAGCACGGCCCCACTGCTGCTCTGCTCCAGGAGCTGCAAGGAGGTGCTGATAAGAAGAGGTGCTGCAAAGGCGTGCTGTCGTCCACCTGGGCCGAAGCTGTCATAGTTAGAGTTGGGTCAACATGACAAAAATTATTACAGGACCTGGTGTTTGTCTGAAATTATTCAACAATTATTGGCCATGATATTTTAAAAACAAAGTTCAAAACTGTTGCCACCAATCAACTGATAAAACTGTTCCACCAAACTGGCCTTGACCTTCAGCTTCTTGAGTACTTGTTGTTTGCGAATCTGGGGAATGAGGTTCACCAATGCTTTAGCAAAACCTCGAGGGTATAGCCTTCAGCTCGCAGGACCAACAAGGGAAAACAATTTTCTATGTTGAACAAACTCCACATACCATCAAGTCTTTGTGTAGAGCACCAAAACTTTTTGTGGTTTGGGTTCACCGGGCAAAACTTTGGAATAAGATATAACGAAATTCACCTGAAAGACTGGGACTTTTTTTAATGCCGGTGTTCCTTGAAACGCTCGCTGGCCTTTCTTGTCCAAGTATTTGCGACAAAGGGATTTCCCAGGCTTTGCCTTGCTCCTGCCTTTCACTTTGGATAGACGACGTACTGCCCCAGCGTTGGTCAACAACATAGTTCTCTTGGGAGTTGAACTTCCAAAGTCTTTCATGTAGAAAACCACTTTGTATACCTTACAAGGTTCCGAACATGGGATCCTTTTTGCATTTCCCATACCTATAGCCCTGAAGCCAACGGAACTTGAATTGAGATTTCAGAAAAGAGGTAAATCATATAGTCTAGCCATTTTCAATGCTCATCTTGGGTAATTGCGGGATTCATTAAATGCAACATGAGTTTCCTTGATCCCAGCCCGTCTCATGGCACCAATCATCCACACCAGGTCTGGATGCCAGCAGATGAAGCTGGAAGCCGGGTTCTCGATGACAAAGTAGCCGCCGAGGAGGGCTGCTAAAAGGGCCAAAAGAGCTGTCCTGCAAACAAGGCGAAAGGTAGGTAAGCTCATGTAAGCTCTTAAGAATTCTCTTAAGGAAACATAAATACATACCCTGTTGAAAAAAACAACATCAATGTATCCTTGCAATCATCCGGTTCCCCTGGATTACCTTCGTGTTGCGGGTATTGCCAAGTGGAGTTAGCTCATCTCGTTGAGAGGTAGCACGATTGACGATAGACCAGCTACTGCAAACTGGGCCCAGGCAAGCCAACATACCTGGAGATTTTCCTTGGAGCACCATCAGGATCGCTAACCTCAGCTGCAATCAAAATTTGTTGGATTTGTTTGGTTTTCAGAGTCGGGTAGGGCATCATAGTTTATTAAACCTGATATGATGTGGTATGATCCTGATGAGTAAAATGCGTATATCATTTGAAAAAAACAATCCCAAATAATCCCAAACTTAAAGCTATTCAAAAGCAGTGCTTTTTGTTGAATTCTTACACCAAAAGAATGTGGTTTTACGAGCCCTGTTCAAAGGAAAGTTGTGTATCCAAATTGATTTCAGAAACCAAAACCCTGCTTCACCACAGAAATCAAAAGCAGATCGCCGGGGTAGTTGTGAATGGGTTGATTCACCACATGGAGGTGTGTCGTAAAGGCAATCATAGGCTCGACAGGTATAGCCTTGAATGGTTCCAATTTTGGCAATCCTTGCAGACCCTGCAAAGTAATCTATCACATCAAGCGGTTGGTGACTGGCCCATGGCATGTGGTACCTGTCTTCCATCCATGAGGCCATCAAGACAAGGTAGATGAAATCCTCAGAGCGAAGGAGGCGCCTCATAGGGAGAAAGATGCAACCACTTGACATGCTCTAACTAGTATTATACATATTTAGTCGAGGTTCAAGAGAGATACCCATTGCAAGCATGTAGCGGCAAGCCATTTCAATTGCCCGACGGTTCACCCTCATTATCACTAGGGTGCTGGAGTGGATCCCGGAAAGGACTTGAACCATAAAACTGGGATCGGCGATGACCAGTGGTATTTGCTCACTTTGTCGAGTTTCAAAAAAAAAGATGCCATCACCAAACCAGCCAGAAACACCGGGCACTTCACCATAGACGCCAAATTTGGCCAGGGATGCTTGCCCCCGGCGAAGCTTCATTGTTGCACGCCTGGCAAGGCGCCCCTGACCATTTTTTTTGACAAGGGTTCGCAGTGGAAAAGATGTTAATAGGTTGGAATGTTTTCCAACAAATTATCGGTTATTTTCTCCAAGATGATAATGAGAAACCGTTTTAAATTCTCTAAACATCTCTAAACCGTTGGTTCATCTTGGTTTGTTGGGCTGGGCTATTGCTAATCTTGGAATTGACCTGTAGTTCACCAAACCAAATGCGAAACGCTTTTGTTCCAGATCCCCGTCACAGCTGCCCCTAGGTCTTCTGCTGCGATGTGCAGACCCCGGCAGCACAGGACCCGGTCAGGGCCATGGTGCTGCTGACATGACACAACATGTAGCCAACGATCCAACAGTGGACCCGAAATGCTATAAGATCACTGTAGATCACTCCTAACAAAATAAAATCAGCAAAGCGCTGATTGCGGGACCTCTCATTGCGGGTCCTTCACTTCAGGGAATTGCCTTTGGCTGCATCCAAAGGTTACATAAAAATCCTGCACCATATAGGCTCAATGGCCAAAAGTGATATGTATGCTCATGGGGGCACATGGAGAAAAATCTACCCAAGCAAAACCCAGGTACTCACATCGTCACGTGCAAGGAAGCTAGCAACCTTCCCCTGCGCAATGAGCAAGTACTCCTCATACTTGATGGCTTCCGAGCCCTTGATGATCAGCATGCACTCAGTGTAGAACTTGTCCTGTTGGGCGCAGCAGTGAATGGATTGGTTTGATGTAAGATTGGCTGCAGCCCACCACCCCAAGAAATAAGAACATACCATTCGAGGGTACTTGAAGATAAACTAAGATTGATCCAGTTTGTGAACAGGAAACAACCCCCATTTGTCCTGGAAAGCACTCTGCCGCTTGATCAAAGGGGCGATCTTCTCCATGAAAGTTTTCTCAATGGCCATGAAACGGTTGAGGGACCCCTCATCACTTGGCCGATAGCGTCCAGCAAAGGTGCCACATCCACTCCTGCGCTTAGGGGCGTTGGGCTCATCCTTGTCACCTCCCTCCACGTTCTGGTCGGTGTCTGGCTCCACAGATTTGCGCTTCCTGCTGGAAACTGGCTTGTCCTTGGTGTCATCCTTGCCCTTGTCATCGGCCTTCGCCTTGTCCTCCTTGTGCTCCTCGTCCTTTTCGTCCTTCTGCGCTGCCTTGCTCTTCGAAGAAGCTGTCGCCCTCCCACGGCCCTTGGCCTTGGCTTTCGCCTTGGCCTTGCCCTTGGGCTTGCTCTTGGCTTTTCCCGTTGGGGTCTTCCTCTTGGGTTTGGTAGGCTCATCTTCACCATCCCCCTGGTCCTCGTCGTCCTCAGCTTCATCACCACCTTCATCTTCTGCCTTATTGCGGAAGTCAGCGTTGATCTGGTCCCGACGTAGGATGATAGGCGCCTTCAGGGTGAAGCTTTCGAATCAACGAGAAGAAGCTATTACCAAACCATAACCTTTGGGAAAGCAGTTGAAGTTGAAGTTTTTATCTTTCTTTTGGGACATGGACTTCTCAAAGTACAACTGTTTCATTCTTTATCCACCCCCGGTCCTTCAACCCCATCAAGCTCTTGACGTCCTGGTCAGCACCCTCAGGCTGCAGTGCCTGTGAGGCCTCTGGCTTCGAAGCACTCAAAGCCTGCACGGTCTTGTCGGTCTCCATGAGGGAAGGCTCCACCTTCTTGGTCTCCATGGGCGGATGCAGGGTCTTGTCGGTCTCCACAGGGGGCTCCACCTTCTTGATCTCCATGGGCGGATGCAGGGTCTTGTCGGTCCCCACAGGGGGCTCCACCTTCTTGGTCTCCATGGGCGGATGCAGGGTCTTGTCGGTCTCCACAGTGGGCTCCACCTTCTTGGTCTCCATGGGCGGATGCAGGGTCTTGTCGGTCTCCACAGGGGGCTCCACCTTCTTGGTCTCCATGGGCGGATGCAGGGTCTTGTCGGTCTCCACAGGGGGCTCCACCTTCTTGGTCTCCATGGGCGGATGCAGGGTCTTGTCGGTCTCGACAGGGGGCTCCACCTTCTTGGTCTCCACCTCCTTGGTCTCCATGGGTGCATCCAGGCTGGATGCAGCAGGCGGCAAACCGGAAGCACTGGTGTCAGCCATCTCCTGGGTGTCCAAATTGACGACGTCCCCATGAATGCACATAGCCTTGGAACTTGGTTCCTCCACAGTCATGGGCAAGGTGTTGAGGTTGTCCATCACCGATCCTATGTAAGGGAAAGTAAGTGTCACTGGCACCCAAAAAATAAAGTAGAAGGAAACGGTTTCTTGGTTTAGAAGGAAAAAGTAAACAAACATGTTACATGACGTGTTTTGTCGAACTTGGGTCCTGAGCCTGCACGACTCTGCAGAGCCAAAGCCCTTCAGGGGAGCATAGCTATGGGATTATTCTGCCAACCAATCAAAACAAAGGAAAAAACGCACTGTTTCGTCTATAGTTTTTTCTTATTTTTCTCCACCCTCACCTGGCCAACCGGATCTGAGCAAGCAGGAGTTGCTGCTGGGCATCCTTGACTGCTGCATCCATAGAACCAGAGGCGCCTGTGCTTGCAGCAGGAACCTCATAGGCATAGGGATCAGTCTTGGAAGGCGCAGGTGGCTTCAATGGTGTAGTCTCAGCTTCAGAGTCCGTTGGGTTGACAGACACTGGCTGGCTGTCAGTGACCATGTAGTCAGGAACGAACGGAATGAGATACTCTCTGGCAGGCTCGGGCTCCACAGTCTCAACATCATTGCTGGGCGCCCCAGATGCTGGGTCAGAAGCTGGCACAGCAGGTGCAGCTCCATCGCTAGGATCATCCCCACCATCACCCCCACGGCCGACATGGGCATCCAAAGAGTCAGTCGACCCGCTGTCAATCACGGCCACATCAGGATATTGTTGTGGATCTCCCCAAGCGAAGTCAAGAATGTCCCAGAAGCCCTGCAAAGCAGGATCCTGGGAGAAGCAGTTTGATTAACAATCGTTTTGGCATAAGAACCCACCCCAAATTTATCAAGAAAAACAATGGGAGCAACATACCATCATATCTAAAGTCTATGTTGAAATATGTTACAAATACTAGGATTGTTTTATTAAGACAGAGGGTCCCTCGGGGCAGCAGCTCCAGAAAGCCAACGCCGGAGACCATGGGAGAAAAGCCTCTTGAGTCCCCAGCTATCAACCGAAGTATTGGCTGGAACTTCCTCCGCAACAACGAGCTTGAGGAACGTAACCACCTTCAAGGAGAAAAAAGTTCGTTATGTCCATTTCATGTGGTGCTCTTAATTTAAGAGGTGTTCCTCAACAATCAAACCAATGGCAACAACTTGGAATGGGAATTACCAAATACTCCTGCCAATTGTACGTATATCTTTAGACGGACTGGTAAGTGGTTTTTAATCAACCCGGTTTTGAAGTGTACCTAACCTCTGATCGGATCAATGCAATGGGCACGGCTTTGGGCAAATCTGTCATGGCCGTCCAGTGGCGGGCAAGAATCTCCAAAGCTGCCACGTTGTACTTCATGGCATCACAGCTGGCGAGGCCGATGAGCTTGGTGTTCCTCCAAGCAGTCAACTTACCGGTCTCACGGGCCCGCTGCCTCAGAGACAGATCCGCCTCCCATGCTTTTGCCAAAGCACCCTCAGAAGATTCAGCAGCCATCTTGTGAGACGATGGATTCTTCCCTTAACGGAACTTGAAATCAAAAAGCTCTAGAAATCGTGAATGGTATTGAAATCCAACTGTCAGATCTTGATTGCCACACTTGGAAGTGAGCGGCTGCTCTAAACATGCCAGTCCCACTCAGCCAGCCAAGGCCAAGAAGCCCAAAGGCCATGAGCTCTAGGTTTCACTGGTGCCAGGCTGGTATAAACTACTCATAATGTGTGGATTCTATCTTAACAAAGGTATTTCATATGTTTCTAGAATCTCATTGTACCTCCCAGGCTTTGCACCTGGCTCCAAATCAGCCAAAATGGCTAAAACACAAGAAACGCCCGCAGTCAAAAAAGATGGTCGTTTGGTTGAAACAGCAGAAATTTCTGAAAGAGCAGAAATTTTGCAGGCTCTCAGGCTTCCAGGTATACATGGAGCATTTGGGATTGATTTAAGGAACACTTCTTGGAACTATGGTGTTTTTACCAGTCTCCTAGTATGCCTCCAAATAAATCAACAGCCGTAAAGCCGACAAGGCCTTACTTCTCTGAGATCCCATCCCATCCCACTGGTTGGTTATAGTAAGAATCCCCAGTGTGGCCAATAAAGCACTTATGAAAAATCTGTGGATATATCATGATATATCCCTGGAAACCACAATTACTCACAAATCAACAGATATACTGAATATTTCAAACTATATATTGTATTAACATATATTAAGCACATATCCCCCTACATGAACCATCAACAGGGCTCCATTTTTTATTGGGCTCACGTCGTTTCCGGAAGATATCTGCGCCGCCTCAACCGAGGGTGCTGCCCGATACCTCTGAGGACGAAGATTTTTTTTCCACGTTGCCCATAGCTGCTATATATATATATATATCAGTACAAGTGTAATTGTATTTATATAATTTCATATACTGTTCATATACCACAGCAGTCTTTTTAAATGTACATTATGACCAGTATTCTTTACTAGTGTTTATTCCAAGTCAAAATAGGCGAACCAATCCCGCCACCCAATACAAAATCTCCCTGTGGGCATCTAAAAAGAACACATCCAATACATCAATACTAAACTATGGTTTCTGGGGGTATCTAATATCAATTTAAGGGAAGGGATTACCATGGATTACCCAAGATGATTGCACATAGGAATGGGGTCAAAGCAAGTCAAAAACCCAGTGAACAGCCCATGCCAGGAACACCACTCCGTCAACACGGCGCACAGGCGCATGAAACTGCGATGTTCCACAGGAACTTCCGACCTGAAAGAAACGACCCCAAAAAAAGGGTGGCCAGTTCGCGGCAAAATGCCAGTTGATTCAGATACAGTGGACGTGTGGTGGGTGATTAACAAACATCCAATCATCCAAAGATGTTTGGGCAATATGGGGTGTTGATGATCAACAAGCCTCTAATATCCTCTAATAATGGTTGCTACGTAATATATAAAGCCCCTTGAGTCAACCTTTGTCATTTGGGGAGTCACCAAAATGGGGGGTTGGTTGAAGCCCCTTGAGTCATTTGGTGGTTTTGTTGAGACACTGGTTTAATATGGTTTAATCATGGTTATATAATCGTATCAGAAGTCAGAATGCCAAGAACTCATGACAGGATTCAACCCCTGAAGACGTCACTGGGCATCATCGCATATACGAATGATCCCAAAGCTCTATGGTATCAACATGAAAGGTCAAACAACTGACCCTAAACAACAAAAACTGACAGGGTTGCATATGGTTGGGTCCAAATGTCAAAACGTGATCTGGATCATACTTGGATGAACATTTTGCCAAGTGGTACCGCGCACTCAGTTCTGTAAAAATCCATCACGGATCAGCTATAACACCGCTATGGTTGCGCAAGGTTACTGATAGACTCATAGTTGCTGATGATATGTTCATGTATTCCGTTTTACCATGTTTTACCATGTTTTACCTTGAGATTGAAACCGCAATCAGCCGTGGCTAAAAAAGTGGTCGAATCTGGCACCCCAAGGCCCCAAGGCCCCAAGGCCCCAAATCGATCTGGCAAGGTCCAGGCGCAAAGAGATCTTGTAAATCTGGAACTAAGGCCAAGAAACCTGCACGGATTGCTGCAGCTGCACGGGAATTTCGAGATGCGCAAAAAAAAAAACGGCTTTTTCTGGTGCTTTTGACGAGCAAAAAAGAGAAACACAAAGGAGCTATAGGAAAATCGTCCCGGGCGGAGAAATTTAGTATTGATACATGTTGATACACAAAAAAAAAGCACCCAAACAGTTTCTGGACACAAGATCTTGAGTCCCATGTGATTTGAAGGAAAACTGAGGAGATTGAAAGAACCCTTTGAAGGAACGCATTCAGGGACATTTAGGGACAGTGTTTTTAAAGCAGATGGAAGCCTCCAAACCATGTGGGTTTGGAGACGGACATTCTTTATCTAGGTTTAAAATGTCTATTGAACATGACCCTTTTCAAATCCCATGATAAAAACCCTGGGTGAATCTCCTTGACAATATAGTTCTCACAGCCTCCAAAAGCACCCGTCTGTCTTTGGAAATGGAGCTGGTATTTCCCCAATCTTTTGCTAAATCCAGGCTTTTTAAAATGGGGGACCCCATACCAATTGTTGTTCCAATTAAACAGCATCATGTTTCAAGATGTATATTGGGGTCACTTATTTCAATGAACTCCCAATGTGGGTATGAGTCAAAATTAGGGTCCCCTAAGTGTCATAAACAATGATTGACCCAAGCCCATAATATATTCTGCAGTCATCTCAACCTAATCATCACTTTTGTATGGTCTAACAAACAGGTAAACATGTGAAACCACCAAGGAGAAAGGATACAGTATAGCAAGGATATAGGCTATAGTTGGCCATAGTGAAGTTATAATAAGGTTGTAGTAAGGATGTCACCAAGCATACTCATAGCTGGTGAAGAGCTGGCGCCTTTGTACTCGGCCCATTTCAAGGCCAAAGTGCTGGGAGCGATGTTCAAACGCCCTGCAGCCTGGGCCCGGGGACTAGACCACCAGTGCCACCACCAGGGGATCATCACATGTCAAAAATCCATGGGAAAAAATAGTGAAATCAGGTGAAACTCCACAGGCTTTCGGAGTGCCGTGTTTTTGGACAGACTGCCGCAGAGTTCAACCTCTTACACTTGCAAGGTCCAAGTAGATAGAAAATCCATTGATTTTTGCTTCCAACTTTTTCATGCAATTTTTTGATGGTTTTTATTTGGTTAGACATGGCCAATCTATGTCCTACTCAGCAAATAATTTCATCTCCAGCCGGGCATGATGCCCATTGCTAAAATGTCCATGTATTTCCACGTTCCACATATGACATACCCTGCAGAGAATCCATTTCCTTTAGGTGGTATATTAATCTCGTTGAATCCCATTTCCCCTCCGGTAATCAATTGAAAATCCACCATTTACTTCGAGGATTCTCCCAGCAAGAAACCTCCGTTTAGTTCGAGGATTGTCTATTGTCAGCCATGTTTGAGGACACACGAGGGTATTATTGGTTTCAGTAAGTATATCCCTATTATATCACATGATATCCCCATTGATGGTGAAATCTCGTTGAAGCCCATTGATGTATAGCGACAAGAACACCTGGTTGGTGGTTCCACCCCCTCTGAAAAATATGATTCCATGTTATTCCCAATATATGGAAACATAAAATTCCATGGTTCCAAACCACCAACCAGAAACATAGGGTTTCAGTTCTACTCTTCAGTTCGTTCATCCTTTAATCCCTTGATCTGTGGATCTTGGGATCCATACCGACTGGGCTTGGGAGCTCTGCAGCCAGGAATTTTGAGGCCCGAAGATCTGGGGCTCAGGTGGTGATGGGATGATCATGGGATGATTCACTGATTGAAGGGGATATGACAAACCAAGCAAAATAGGGACTTCGCCATGAGCAATAATGACTTAAATATCAAACATATATATATATAGATTCAACCATCAGAAATAGGGATTTCACCAATGAATAGTGGCATGACCATTCAATGGGGAAAATTATCATCAACTATCCCCTTTTCGGATTCCCTATTTCCAGACATACCTATACGAGGGATAGTATTGGCGATGATCTTGGCATTTCCGCCAAAAAAATGAAACATATTGTCAGACATGTGTTGGCTACAAGATAGCTTGAACTAGTTCACATATATCATATGCCGGACGACATACATGATCATGTTCCCTGTTACAATGGCAATAAATTGGGAGTATACAAACCATTTTCAGACAGATCAAAATCATAATAACATATAATAACTATCGTAAGTTGGTGACCATCCCCAATCTCCATCCCCATCATTTTGTGTCGTTTAAAAACCACATTTTGTGTTGGTGACCATTCCCAAGTACTGGGGGCTCCAACGCCATATGCCATGGGCAGTGTTCCGTTGCCTCGATATTCAGTGGGATTTAAGCAAGAATAAATGGGGGTTGAAGGCAATAATCTGATTGGGATCTTAAAAAAAACAGAAACTTGCAAGTGATGCCTTTGCTGCAAAACACACTGAAGCCTGAGAAGAGATCTTAGAAGGTTGTGGCTGGTAATGCCAGCTTTGATGATGTCTCTAAATTGACTATGCCAGTTAATTTCGCATTCAACCTATCAATGAATCCATTTCAGAAGAACAATACCCACTGGTTTGAGAGTGTGCAATGTCAAAATGGACACTTGCGAGTACCTATTGGCAATACCTTGGCTAGGACTAGGTACGTAACATCTATATTATTGTAAGCTACTTGTACATCATGTTACCCTCAAGTCTGACCCGCTTAAAATGATAAATGGATCGAACTAGGGGCCTTGAAGAAACCAGTTGTCTCTGACATTTTGCATCCTTGTCCTTGAACCAGCATTTCCAGCCAAAATGGGTCCAACAAGGCAAATATATGATATATGCAAATATATTATATGACTACAATTCCCAAATTTCCCAAACCAGTCCAAACCTAAGAAATGAACATATAGATAAGCATAGACTATATAACCAAATTTTGGAATTCTGGAATAATTTTCCAGGCATTTCCCCCTAGCAACCATAATCTTTTGCTGCAACCACCGCGTGTCTGTCACCTTGGGTGACTGGTGGCTCTCGTCGCTATCACTGGCCGTTTCAAGGGAAACCATTCTCCATCACTATGAATGGTTGGTTAATAGAAGTTACAAGTGGGTCGGTTGCTCAATATTGAGGTCTCCACTAAGTTTTACACCACCACAATATATATATATACACATATTATATCAGATGCTGCATCTTTTCTTCAATTTTTCCCTTGAACCGATTCTTGGAGAGACTTGGCCAAATCAAAAAAAACTGCTGATAGACGGTCCATCAAGTTCCGCGGAAGAAACCTTGAGATTGCCCTCTGCAAACATAGTAAATTGGGTGGTTTTGTCCACCAACAGTATCAAATGATCGTTTCTTGGTGGTTTCAGTAAACCGGAAAATATGGTTCGAACTTTCAAACATTGCGATGAACATCTAACACCTTCCAGAATGCATTCGATGTCCTACCCTTGCGTTGGGTGCATGCCGACATCATACACTGCACTGTATTGCACTTTACCGTCTGCTTAAAATGATTGACCTCAAACATTGGATGAGTCTCTAATTACTCAACGTACCAAATGTGTGGTTCTACTATGTTCTACTTTTCTGGGACAACAGAGCCAACTTTAGCCATGTACGTGGCTGCGGAGCCCCAACGGGACACCACCCTCAGCCGGTATCATCCTTGGCCTTCAATCCTGAAGTGGAACTGCGGAGCACAGGAGAGATGATGATTTTTCAATATTTGTCACATATCTGGAATCATTTGCAAAAATCTTACCATGGTTCGAGCATGTTCGAGCTATCTACTTCCATGGCACCCGACATACACCGACTCTTGCCCAGGAGTGCAGCGCGATTATGCTCCAAAATCCCAAACTCCGGCGACTTCTGCGAGACGGAAAAACATGTCTGATTGTCATTTAGGAAACGGCGATCATCAATTTTTCCACCGATGGGGGAAATGCCTATCCGCAATTCATCCCCTCATATCCCATGATTATCCCATCAAGTGAAACCATGTTTTTCCCCAACAACAAAACTTTGCTATGGGGTCTTTAGCCCAGATTAGCTCCGGTGCGATCCGGTGCAGCTTCAACACCAGGTTCCGGACAAGGTCCGGAGGGTTCTGGTGCAGATAACTCGTGAGGTTCCGGAGGATTCCCGTGCAGATGCCTCGTGAGGTTGCGGAGGGTTCCGGTGAAGATACCTAATGAAGCTCCGGAGGGTTCTGTGCGGTTCCGGAGAGATGCCTTGTGAGGTTCCGGAGGGTTCCGGTGCAGATACCTTGTGAGGTTCCGGAAGTTTCCGGTGCAGGTACCTTGTGAGGTATCGGAGGGTTATGGTGCAGATACTTGGTTAGGTTCTAGAGGGATGATGTTCCGGAGGGTCTACTAGGTGAAGATGCGTTGGGAGGTTCCGGAGGGTTCAGACCTTATGGGGTTCTGGAGGGTTTTGGCGGAGAAGATGGTGAGCCGATGTTTTTTATGGCGTAAGCACGGAATTTTTGTGGCATAAGCGCTTCATTTTTTATGGCATAAGCACTTTTTTATGGCAGAAACGCAGAAGCTTTTAAGCTGTTGGGAATAGCACCTGAGTTTATTTCTGTATATTCTCTGCATTCGGAAAAAGATATGCTCGCAAAACCGATGAAACTTATAATAGAAAGAAGCAATCCTTTTTTTGGTCGCTTTCCGGCGCAAAACAAGAGAATGTTCCTCACCTGCATGCTTTTATTGTCGGCAAACACGCAGCCTCTTGTTTTTTCCCCAACAACAAAACTTTGCTATGGGGTCTTTAGCCCAGATTAGCTCCGGTGCGATCCGGTGCAGCTTCAACACCAGGTTCCGGACAAGGTTCTGGAGGGTTTCTGGTGCAGATACCTCGTGAGGTTCTGGAGGGTTCCGGTGAAGATACCTGCCGAGGCTCCAGAGGGTTCTGTGTGGTTCCGGAGGGTGCCGGTGCAGATACCTTGTGAGGTTCCGGAAGTTTCCGGTGCAGGTACCTTGTGAAGTTCCGGAGGATACGTGGTTAGGTTCTAGAGGGTTTTGGTGCAGGTACCTTGTGAGGTTCCGTAAGTTTCCGGTGCAGCTACCTGATGATGTTCCGGAGGGTCTAGGTGAAGATGCGTGGTGAGGTTCCGGAGGGTTTCGACCTTGTGGGGTTCTGGAGGGTTTTGGCGGAGAAGATGCTTGGTGAGGTTCCGGAGTGTTCCGGTGCAGATACCTTGTGAGGTTCCGGAGGGTTCTGGTGCAGATGCTTTGTGAAATTCCAAAGGATTCCGATGTTTTTGATGGCATAAGCACGTAAATTTTATGGCATAAGCGCTTAATTTTTATGGCATAAGCACTTTTTATGGCATGGCAAATACGCAGAAGCTTTCAAGCTGTTGGGGATAGCACCTGAGTTTATTTTTTCAAGTTTAAGTCCCATTTCTGGGCCCTTTCCGTAGATTTCAGGGCTCCTCCTGCTTTTTGCAGGTCCACGAACCACTCTTCGGCCGTAAACAGGTCCAGGTCCTTTCAGCCCACTGACAGGAAGAGAAAGCGACCGATTTTGGCCGTGAAAAATGGATGAACAATGATGGCAAAAATACACATAAGGTCACACACACATATATATATATAATTATATATATAATATTATATATTATATAGGCTATGGCTATACATTGATGGAACATGGTTTCGTTTTGAAATTTGAAGGAATTCTTTGACCTGCAGTTCCAATCCAGTACATGTAGCCAGGGTATGTTGATCTCAAACGGGGAACCGTTCTGGACTCACACATGTCTGATCATTCCTACCATGACACTGAACCATCCATTTTTTGTGGGTGCTATGTAGTAGTTCCGAACCAGAATATCTGGATTTACATGATGGTGCTTAAACTAGGCTTGAACAACCGAGCTGAAAGCAGCAGAGCCACAGGCTGCAACAAATCATCGCAGTTTTTTCCTTTCGATTGTCTGGGTTTGTGGATGCTGTACAATTACAAACAAAGATCCACCAATGTTGCAAAACCCTTCATGTCTACAGATACAAGTAATTGGAAAGCTCACGCCTTTTCACAAACTTTGGGCTTTTTGCTTCATTAAAACATGGTCCATGCTACGTCGGAAATGCCAGCCCAAACTTTGAGCTCTTTGGCTTCCACATAAGAAATTGTACTCTCCAATTTTCCACAGATACATGTGCATATATATATATATTATGTATATAAATTGATGAAACCATTTTGCCTATCTATGATATGCGTATGTCTAAATGTATGTGTTCTTCCAAAAAGTGGTGATTTTTGGCATCTCAACATGACTTGGCATCTCCGTCCACATCCGCTGCAGTCATGGTCATAGACCAAAGTTGAGCAGCAACAGTTCACGATCCTCGGAGCCGAGGTCGCAGTGGGTCTAGGGCCACTGAAGAGTGAAAAATGGACCCAGAAAACGGACGTGTTTTCGATATAATTATTGTACTTGTGGCTCTTCCCACGAATCATGATTGGGTAATAACCCCAGCCATAAATGGAATCCCACTTAGTAAGTGGGTAATAACCCCAGCCATAATTGAAATAAGTAGTTAATCCAAATCATCCACGTCATGGCACGGCGACTTCACCAATCGCTTGGCTTCCTCGTGCGAGCTGGCCATCTGTGCGGCGGACCAACGGATCCTGGTCGGACAGAAGGAGAGCACCGATTTTGGGGATTGGTGGGATGACTATATCCATAAAATACCATGAATATATAGGGAAAATAGTGTTATAATCCATTTGAATATATATATGAATATCCTTACTCTATGAATATATATGAATATGGACCATTTATATAAGCGAAAATCTACAGGAAACCAGTGTTTTTTGGATGATTCTAAGAGTCAGTTTTGGAATATGGATGAACATTGCCCATTTATAGATGATTTTCCATAGCTACGTTAAATAGCCAGAAGGTAACCAGCCGTACTGGTAATATTTTCAGGGGATGTGATTAATAGTAGGCGTTATTAATCATTTATATCCCTATCTTAAGGGCAACAATCAACCATCAACCTATCTTAAGAACAGAAGTTTTTGCCAGGGAGAATCTACGGGAAACCATGCTGAATTCAGAGGCATTCATGTTCAGGAGATATACACGAATCAGTAACTGGTTGGTGGTTTCAACCCCTCTGAAAAATATCAGTCAATGGGAAGGATTATCCCATATATTATGGAACATAAAAAATGTTCCAAACCACCAACCAGTCAACCCTGGTTGCATACTTTTCGGCATCTTTTTGGGGGGTTTCCCTCACGGCCCCCATCAATGGCGATGTCTTGCATGGCGGTTTGTTGATCCCTTGC